GGGAATGTACCCAGTACTAGAGGATGCATGTTAAGTACGATCATGCAGCATGCATCAAGTTCTCAGTTTTAGCATCTATACCAAAAATCAAGGCATAAGATTGTTTTGAAGTGGTGTGTGTGATACATTTGACTGATTTCTTTGAATTTCAAGAACAGATTTTTAGTGGGACCTGTGCTCTTAAGTTGTTTTGAAAATTCTTCCTAAATGCGTATTAAATTATCAAATGTTAAGATGAAATAATGTGACCCATTGAAATGCCTTTATGGAATATAATAATGTATTTTCCAGGAGGCTTTGAGTGAAATTGAGGCAAATGAAGGTAATTGGCAAAGGTAATATTGAATAACTGAGGCCAGAATCTTACCTCTGCAGTTAGGAAACAGGAAGAAAAATGATTTAATGTTTTGTCTGATTTTTTTTAAATTAAAGCAATTTGGATATATTAGACTAATAACTATATCTGCTCCCTTTTAAGTATTTTTTTCTAACAAAACAATAACTTTTTACTTGAGTTGAATGTTGGAAGTTTTTACTAAACAAGTATGACTTTTTCATACCGATTTCCAAAACTGAATTTAAAACATTTTACACTGAATCAGAAATCCCATGCCTACTACTTTACTTCCAAAACCATTTAATTTTGAAGTCTTTTCATTAGGTCTTTCCTTGAAAGATGTCAGATTGTTTAAGTGGTCTCTCTGAAATATGCAGGGACTTATTGAAGCTTGCATCCCCCTGTTGTGCAAGAGCACTTTGGGTCAGTACCAGCCCTTATATGCCCAGTAGTATGGAGTAAATCCACTTAATTTAAAATGTTGATCTTCTATTACACTTTTAAATACTGTAGTAGACTTGTTCTGATAAACTTGTATGATGGATGTCTGCTAATTAGTCTTAAAAAGAGCTGGAGGTTGTGTATTTAAGATTTTCAGTCAAGTTTCGCTACAGTGTAGCTGCACAGGCGCAAAAAATTTGGCACAGCAATATGTATAGCAGATGTGGCAGTGTTGTATTTGGGATGAGGTGAACTCTTGTTTCTCCTACAGTCTAACTTTTCACAGTAACTGTGAACAAGGATCTGTATAAGGCTGTTTGATGGGTTGATCACTTAACTGCTCTTTAAGCTCAAAAGGGAAGATAAGTTAGAAATATGTCCATAGACTGTAAAATTTTTTTAATGTTAGGATATAAATCTTGCTAACACTGTGATTTTTTGAAGTGTAATGCCATCTAATGAAAAATATAATCTCGTTTGCTCAGATTACAGTACAACATGTGGATTTGTGAATTTTTTTTTTTGAGGACCAAGTTCTTAGAATAGGACAGGAGTATCACTGTGATTCTGTGATGATTCTGTGAATAAATATAGCTATCCTACTGTGAGCATGTTGAAAGTCATAAAACCACTAGTTTTATTACATTTTGAATGAGAACTGTGATGCCAAGGTCAAGTGTTTGCCAAGCTCTTAGCAAGATCAAGACTCTTGTCTCTTCACAATACTTCTACATTGTAAAGTAAAAGTGCATTTTCTTGATTGTTTTCACCTTATTCTGATGATAACTTTATACTCCACCTTCTAGACTGTGAATTTATTTCCACTCTGTAAAAAAAAAAAAAAAAAATTCTTAAAAGCTTTTATTCTTTGCAATTTTCTCCTACCAGTATTCTTGCAAATATTGTCAGTAAATCTATAAATTGAATGTCAACTGAACAAGGAGGCTGAGGGGAGACTTTATCACTCTCTATGATTACCTCAAAGGCAGTTGTAGCAAAGTGGATGTTGGTCTCTTCTCCCAGTAACAAGCGATAGGACAAGATGAAACAGCCTCAAGGTGTGCCAGGGGAGGTTTAGATTGGATATTACAAAAAATTTCTTCACCGAGAGGGTTGTTGAATATTGGAAGAGGCTGCCCAGGGACTCAATAGTCACCATCCCTGGATGTATTTAAAAGATGTGTAGACGTGGTGCTTAGGGATGTGGTTTACTGGCAGACTTGGCAGTGTTTGGTTACCGATTGGACTCAATGATCTTTTCCTTGAGGTTTCTTTCCAATGAGGTCTTTTCCAACCAAAATGATTCTGTGATTCTAATAATCTAACAATCCTCTGCATAATAACATTTACATGCATATAGGATTTACCTGTGACTTTAGGTGTGGCTGGTAAGGTAAAAAATACATTGTAAAATGATCTTACAATCGGGGGATGGACTAGATGATCTTAGGCAGCCCCTTCCAACCCAAGCCATTCTATGATGGTACTCTAAAAACTGTAAGCAACTTATCAGCATATTGTTATACAAATTTTATCAGTTTGCTAGGAAAATTTTCCATGATGAACTATTACAATGTGAAATTCCGTGTGTGACACTATTACAATCAGAGCCACTTGGGTGTGAACCTTTGTGAATCTGTGTTGACTTCAGGCAGATAATATGCAAATAGAGAGTTTCGCTCATGGATTTGGCTGGTGGCTTGGGTCTGTTTTTTCTGGCTCTGAAATATTTTACTCATACAGTGCAGTAACTTAATTAAAAATCTGCTAACACACCCCCTTACCTCCAGAAAAATAATAGTAAGAGTATTTTTTTATATACACATAAACATATACATACACACAGAGAGTAGCTCAGACTATAAAGAGTTCTTCACCTTTCTTGGGTTGTCATTCTTGGATGGTATCTGACAATACAACACTCTGCTCATCTCAGCTTCACTCTCTGAATTCCTTACTGAGGCAAGGGAATCCACATGACTCTCTGGAAGCTGTACAAGTTTTGAATCAATAGGTGTGTGCTCAAACTGAAAGCAGTTGCTGAGTTCTAAAACCACAGAAGGGGTGCTTGTAACAGCTGTTTTCGGTTCTCGAGGATAAAAAATATTAAGTGGAGTTTTGGAAAGTGTTACGACTTATTTTTTGTTCTGAATTCAATATAATAGCAACAGCATTAATAAATATGCCTACTTGCAACTATTCTATATGGCTTGGGTTTACCAGCTGAGATTTATATTTACAGCCAAGGCTGGGGACTCATTCAGGGGAGTATAGCACCCGCCTGCCAGTCGTGGCTAACATATATCCCAGTCTGCTGCTTGGGCTGCTGAAGGTGCAGTGCTGCGCTGCACATGGGCCCCCAGTGCATGGGGAATATTGCAGTATTTTCAGTGAAACTAATGAACTTTCTCTCCAGGTTTCATTTGGGATGAGCCATTATCGCAGAGCTGGTTATGATGTAAATTAAAAGTCTCTCCTAGGCAGCCATCCTGTGTTGGGTACTCTGAAACAGCAATGCAGGAGCGGAAGGCTGTGGGTCTAGAATACACTTGTATGTTTTGGTATAGTGCAATCTCACAGGTGGTCTGCGCAGGCCAATTCTGGAGTAGTCTGAAAGCTATTGCTTTGTCTTATTGGGCAGTCACAGCATGGGAACGAAGGACTAATTAGTATCAAAAATATCCTTGTCAGGAGGTTGGGGTATGACATCACGATCTACCTTATGGACAGGTAAAGGATTTAATGCACTCTAGTTCCCAGCATTTTGTACTAATGTGAATCTTTCCCTTCGCAAAGAAAAGCAAAGAAATGCATGAAAATGGAGCTTAAAAAACCTTTATATTGTTTGCATATATTTTTATCTCAGACTCTGAAGTTTTCTAGGTGAATTAGTTCACTATTAAATGTAATGACACTGTATGCAATCACACAACCTCCTGGACTTTTTACTTCCATCTATCTTGCAGAAATATGCCACTTCACAATGAACCAAAGTGGTAGCTGGAGCGAAAGGTTATAATCTCAGTGTGTTATGAGTACCTTCTATGCTGCCAAATATCGTGATGTATAGAAAGAACAGTAAGTTAAAGTTAGGCTGCCTTGGACTGCAAGGCAATGTGCATTCAAAACAGTTCATCAGTCTGAGAAAATACTTAGCACTTTCCTGCAGAAAAGTGTAGCTCTTTGACTGTTTTCCATGTGGGCCTGGTGGAAAAGGACTGGTAGGTAATCCTTCACCTTCCATTTTGCTGAGCCAAGTACAGGGGAAGTTGGCCAGGATGTCTCAGTTGCTGCAGACCATAAAGGAGAGGCCAGGAAGGAGACATTTTGTGTCTTCATTTGCCTGCACTGGAAAGCAAATACATATGCTAAAGGTATGGGGATAAAAGGAGCTGGTAATTAGCATTGACATCAGTTTGATCTGGCAAAGTTATTTTGGCATCTACTTTTTGTGATTTTCATGGTCTGTGCCATCACTGGTACTTGAGAGTAGGAAGATTGAAAGGCCACTATTTATTTGTTTTTTAAAGCTGGTAATGTTACACATATTTCCACGGGTTACTTTCAGATTAATATGGTAAAAATTTGTAATATTTTGCACCTTCCTAGGTCGAGTAATTAAATTCTCATAGTCATTACCAAATGTGATCTCTGAAGAGAACACAAGTTGTGGGGTTTTGTGTAGAGCATGGATTTGACTCAAGGATTGGAGATAGGCAAATCCACTTGAGTTCAAATTCATAGTTTCCATAACTGCTTAATGCTTCTCAGACAGTGTCTTAATAATCTAAGGGGTCAAAGAAGTTTGAATATGACGTTCATGTATCCAACAAATAATACACACTCTTAGATTATGTAATTTTTCTATATGTTTAAATGTGGTACAGGAAAGACACTTTTACTCCTTTGTTCCTAAAATATTTGTTTCTTGGCAGCACTTGTCTGGATGTATAGCAGATGTACTAAATATAAGCTGCCTATGATTTAATGCAGCACACATGCAGAAAATGAAAATAACATTAATACAAGTTGTTATTTTAATATGGACCTTTGAGCAAAAGGAAGCACTGCTCTGGTCTGGAGTACTTATGCTGTGATATAAATAGAAGATTTGAGTTTCCAGGACTGTCAGTCTGGCAAAGTTCATTTGACCTCAATTTGTGATGCAAGACTCCTGAAAATAATGGCCTCACTAACATTTATTCTGTATTTCTGTTAATAGGAGGAATGCTTTTTGAATTTAGAAGCTCCTATTTCGAGAGTGTGTGGCTATGACACTCCTTTCCCTCACATCTTTGAGCCTTTCTACATCCCAGACAAATGGAAATGCTATGATGCTCTTCGAAACATGATTAACTACTGAGCAGTAATACAGGTGAGAAATAATGTCTTAAACTGACAGTTTGCCTGTAAGTATTCGGACAGAGTGACTGCAAGGTTTGGGGCTGAAGTATTACTCTTCCATTTAGTTAGTTATTTACAACAAGGATTTCTTCTTACGGCTTTGGGCCTTCAGTCTTAAAAGCATCCAAATATTTTTAAGTAGTGCTATTGAAGTCAGTATTTAAAATTAATTACCTTGCTTAATCAGTCTGAAAATTAAATATCTGGTATCCTGAGAAGTGAAAAGAACATGAAGTGAAAGATGAAAGGAATAGTAATGCGCAGAATATATTTTCACCTGTATCAAAAGACTTACAATTACTTCATAGGCAAACCATATTGTTAAATTTTATAGTTTTTCACTCTTCAGGGTGGCCTGTAATCCTATGAGGTACTAATAAGGCCCAATTTACACCAAATATAGGCACTGCATTGCAAACATACACAGAGCATTGAAAATACATGAAGCATCTGTAGTATCTTACAGTTCTGTTCAAATAGAATTATAAGGCTTATATCTAATACTTATTCTAACATAATGTTTCTTTATAATCTTCTATGTAATTTGGTCACCCTTTAAGATTTCTGTTTGCAGAGCCCTTCAGGCACCAAGTCTGTGAAGTAATATGTATTTCTATTATGTATCTATTAATCACAGTCTGTAACATCTTTTGTCTTTGGTTTTGTTGTAATGTAACACAAGTGGCCAGCCAGGACTTCAGAGAGCACTGTGCATTGCTGTGAGAGAACTTCTGGTGTTTAATGACCAAAGTTTAATAGTTTAATAGTTAGGAAACGTGTCAACAGATTGTATTATCTACTTCCTTCAGTTATGTGAGTCAAGTAGTGTATTTTTGAGATTGAGTCTTGATGGGTCTTGTACTTCTTGAACTAAAAAGAAAAGAAAAAACCAACAGGCCTGTTTTCCTTTGGAATGAGGAGATCCCGTAAGAGGCAGTCAGGGGGGTTTTAGCTGTGGACACCGAAGGTGGGAGGGCCAAGGTGGGCCCTATATTAGGGGCGCCCTCTTGTGTCCATTTTACCTATACGTTAAGCTGTGGAGTAAATGTAGGGCCAGGGATAGAAGGTTGTCAATACCTTAATGTTAATCTCGTTTACATGCATACTTACCTTCAGGAAGACTTTTTGCATTTCCACTCCTTTGTTTCCCTCAACAACTGATAGTGGAGCTCCTGTATGTGGAATGGGAACTTTACCGGTGAGGCAGTGTCTCTGAAAAATAGTATAGTTCCATTTACAATATTTCTCCAAGATCACCCTTTATTCACATACCAGAGCATTTCCTTAAGTTTAAAACTGAAGAATGTTGTGATCTGTTTTGCAGAGCGTGTGGTGAACGCTGTCTTTTTCACGACAATTGTCCTTTGCCTTTTATCTGAGTGGAACTAGACTTATTTTTTTCTTTTTTGTTTACAATGTCTCTAATACAGTCAGTGAAGCTCTCCTAAAGAGAATGGAATGTCTCAGCTCTTTCAGGCAAGTTGCTGGGCCATGCTAGGTAGCCTCTACTCTGTTTTTTTCCAAAGGCAACCAGAGGACCAAATAATTTTACCCATGTATAAGTAGGGGGAGACAAACCAAAGGCATTTGGTGGTTCAGTGACTTAGTTTAAGCCCCGTTCCTCCATAGGATGGTAAAGCGAAGGAGGTATGAGGAGAAAGAAGTGGGTTCTGAGATTGCGGTGAATTTGTGCGCAATCCAGTTTCTACACTGGATGTCCACAGAAAACCTATCTGGGGAGGTAATATGGACTAAAACTTGGAAAAGTCATCTGCATTCGTATTTACATTTCTCCTGTGGGCTGCACCATGCACCAATATCAGAGGAGGTTATTGGCCGGCTGAAAACGTGGATTCAGCATATCTGGGAGCTGGTTTATTAGGGCCTGTCTGGAAAACAGGGTAAAGACACAGAAAACTGCTTTCTGGTTTGCCTAAGAAAATATCCTGATGGTGTGGCCCATAATGCCATGTCTTTTCATTGGTGTGACTAAATATTAGTGGTATAGAATGAGCGGCTCAAAGGTTTTTCTAAGAACGAACCTTAATGTAAGGCACATTTCTGGGAAGTATTGCCTTATTTTTCTGTATGCTGTACTAGGTAATTGGTCTTAAGTGCTTGAACACAGCAGTTACAGTAGATTCCCACCCTACCATCTACTCCACAGAGTTTGCATATAAGGTAGTGTGCTTATGTTTCTGAGAAATGGAAGGATTGCTTTACATTTGCTGCTTTTTGTGCTCAGTGTAACATTTATTAGTGACATTACTTGCCATTGGTCTGGACTGATGAGATTAATGTGTTCCAAACCACCTCGCATATGGGGAGACAGGGATATCTTTTCTAAGAAATGGTGTTACAGTTTGTGTGGGTTTGAGCACAGCCATAGTCTTCTGGATGTTAGTAAAGCTGGGCCCCTTCTTGTCCTACTCCTGGAGAGACAGAAGAACTAACAGCTCCCCATGGTGAAGAGGGATGTAGGGTTGGCTTTTGAGTTACAGAAATGGCGAAGCTGGCGAAGTTGTTGCTTGCCTTATGTTTTAAGTCATTTCTTTTAGATAGAACCTAGTGTCATGTCTGGCTACCTTCTTTTCCTCTCTTAATTGACAACTCACTAGAACTTGCTTCTTCCTTTGCTTTCAGGCAGATTGTGGGGGGAAAAAAAAGTGATAGTTGTCAAATACATCAGTGGTATATGTCAGATTACTCTTTCTAACATGGCCTGAGATCTCTGTAGCTGTATTGAGAAGCTGCCTGCAACTTTGAACATGAACATGAGCCGGCAGTGTGCCCAGGTCACCAAGAAGGCCAACAGCATACTGGCCTGTATCAGAAATAGTGTAGCCAGCAGGAGTAGGGAGGTGATTGTGCCGCTGTACTCGGCACCGGTGGAGGTTGGTGGAGTCACCATCACTGGAAGTATTCAAAAAACGTGTGGACATGGCACTTCAGGACATGGTTTAGTGGGCATGGTGGTGTTGGATTGATGGTTGGACTTGATGATCTTAAAGGTTTTTTCCAACCTTCATGATTCTGTGATTCTGTGAACTTCATTTTGTGAAGTCTTGCAGTGATATGATTCCCTCTCCTTGTTACTGGATGACACCAAGTTGTATAATGTTTCATGGTCTACCACTATTTGAAAATCCTCTTCAGACCTGGAAACAGGTTCTGTATTAAAGCACGGGGATGCTAACTCCAAACTTACTTTTACCAGTTATAGTATGCTTTTCCTTAAGTTATTGCTGTGTCCAAATTGTTCTGTCTTTACTCTCCCAAGTAAGTATTTCTCACTTAACAAAGAATAAATCTGCATCTTCCTTAAAAAAGCCACAAACAAATCCTTCCTTGAAATATGTTTGGCTGTGTGTACAAATGTGCCTCATACCCAGAAAGGTTCCTCTCAGGCGCCTGAATTAACTTACTCCTTCGTGTCTGAAGCTAATGCTTCAGATGGATGCTACAATCATTTCTAAACTTTGCCTTATTTTCTTAATGTACATTTGGTTTTATTAAACCTGTGTTGACAACGTCTCACACATGCACAGTTGCTTATCTTGAGATTGACAGTACAGATGGTTTTCCTGCTCAGCGTTTGACAATGCATACTGTCTACCTCACCAATGAGACAAGCAAGAGCAAAAGCTGTATCTTTCAGCAGCTTATTAGTTATTAAAATTTATGTCTATGTTAGCTATAAGAGAAATAGCTTCCAGGTAGGCAGCTGTGTTCCAGATAACTCTTTGTAGTTGGAAAGAGGATAAAGAGAAAAGAAACAGTAAGATTAGGATGGATATTCATTTCCTGCATAGATGGAATGGTGTCTGGCTGTTCATTTGGGGCGAAGGGGGGAGGGGGAGATAAAAGATAAAAGAAGAAACAAAAGAAAACAGCAACAAATTTTATAAAATACAATATAAAAGAAAATATTGAGGGGTGGCTGTAAGCATAGGAATGGCAAATAGCCACGTGTTCTTTTGTTACCTTTTGCAGCTTTTTCTACCACGTTTGCATATTCTGTTTTTTTTGTCAAATTCTGAATTTTAAAGCTGTCCTTGCCAGGTGACAATTTACCTCCATGAAAGTATGTGTGTATGTAGTATTACAAATTTAGTCTCTAAAAATACAAAGTTATCACACTCAACTTCATTATGGAACTATTTTATGGAAAGTTTAATTTTGGTGCTTAAAGGTTAGGTGATGTTAGGAGATTATGAGGGTTGATTTAAATTTCTTTGTCTTTCCAAGCATGTGTTTGAAGTTGTATTTCAACATCCAATACAGTTTGCTCAGAACCAGTGCTCCAGTTAGGAGAGACTTGCAAATGACAGCAATCCTTTTCCTTTTTCTACCAGTTATGTTGTGCTGGGAAAGAGGAAGGGACCTGGGAGGTACTTCGGTTAGTAATTGCCTGTTCTTTGCACTCTTGGTTATTAGGCAAGTCTTCATACAGGTTATTTTGAGGCACAAGAAAAATATAATTGCTCTCCCTGTTTCGTAAATAAAATATGGAAGACTGTACAAGATCATTTCTTCTTAACCTGAGACTAATGACCAGGTTTTTTTCAACACAAAATCCCAAATGTGTCAGGGTAGACTGCCTGCCTTTTGTAATGCGTTGTCTGTAACCCACTAGAATAAACAACCTCCAGAGGCTTGAGTAGGACACAACATTCTTGGTTTATAACGTTTTCCTGCTGGATGGCAAAAATAATGGCTGGTGAATCATGTCTTATTCACAACTAGTGAGTAGTCCAAATATAAGATAACAGTCTACTAGTGCTATGAGTCAGTCTGTTAGTATGGCTATTGCAAGTCTATACGTGCATTCAAACCTTGCTGAGAATTCATACAAGATCAGGACTAATGAAATTACCTTTAGAAAAACCTATGAATAGGAAAGGTATTGACTGTAGTTTTTTTTACAAGACCCCTCTTCACTGCAGTAGAGGATTGATAGTATATTTTGTAGAGCTTTAAAAAAAACCCCACATAACACTTTGCTTAACATGCTAGAGTGGGATGGAAGACACTTCATCATGAAGTTTTTGCATAAATGGTGGTAATTAGTGTTGTCTTGACACTAGATATCAGTTGCAGCATTTCTAGGTTTTGTGTGTCTACCTTGGCACCTTTAAAAATTTAATATAGTTTTTAATACATACTAAGTATTTTGTTATAGCAGAAACGTTGAGGTTAAGAGGATATTATAAATTTAAAAAGTAAAATTAGCATGCAGGGTGCTGTGTGTTTAAGTTGCGCATATTACTTTCAGCCTTTAAGATTTGTAATTTATTTTGTCATTTTCTTCTGCAGAGATCAGAAGAACAACAGGGAAATGCAAGAAGATACCTTCAAAACTCTTGACACTTTAAGATTTTTTGGGTTTGGAATTCACATAGCAGACTTTTCTCTGAACTCAACTATCCTTAATATTCATCTTCACTATTCTTCAGAAAGTTCAAATCTTCCTTAATTATGAATCAGTGATGAGCAGGTGATCACTATAATAAGTAGTTTCAGATGTATTTGAAGATACTCCAGCTGTCGTATGAATGTTTCGCATTGCCATGCTTCACTAGGTTACATCTCTGAACTTCGCTGTGTAAATATTAGAAGCAGGATTTTATTCAATAAAACATATTATGCACATATTGTCTCTTGGTTTTGTTACAGTTTTGGGAAAATGTAAAGAAGTTATTTGAATGTGACTGTGTTTTCAGCAAAATAAAGCTTAGACAGCCAGACCAGCTTGTGCATCTGGTCTGACTGAGACGTCCTTTTACCAGTGTCATTAGTTGTCTTTCAGTTGAGTGGCTTCATGTAAAACTGTCTCAAATACTGATTTCCTTTCTGCAAGGGAAATGAAAACTCCATGTTTCTTGAGAAGGGAGGAGAGATTTTTTTGCTTTGTTGCTATAGGTGAGAGGCTCTATTGGTACGTCTTTGCTGCAATATCTTTGTTTCATTATTTTTCCTCTAGATATGGAATGTCTGCTGCTAAGCAGTTGTGCAAAATGGGCCAATTTGTGGAGAAAAGGTAACAGCACCCTGACATATTCATGCCAGTGGTGGGAGAGGAGGTGGCACAAATACCATCTTCTGTTGGTGAGGACACAGAAATACAAAATTACCAAAAAGCCTGTACTAGAAAATCAAACCTGAATGTTTATTTTTCCTGTGCTAATATAAAGGGCACTGAACATCCCTAAGTGCAAAAAGGAGTCCAGCCTTTCAGACTAAGAACTTCTGAGCTCAGTAGAGATTTGCTTAATTTTTAATCATGCACTTCTTTTCCATATGACAAGCCAAGGACACAGCAAAGATGTTGTGAAAATTATCCTCTTTTGTCCTACATTCTAGGACTGCTCAAAGGGCAGCAGATCTTCTTCCAGCACAGTAGTTTCAAAGCTTATTCCTGAATTCCTTTGGTACCAGCTTTGTTCTTTTTTCCACCACCTAAAATAAGTGTGAATTTAGCAGTTCCTAGTCTTTTTGGTTGCTTTGCTCTCTGTACAAATAAATCTCATGCTGTGTTGCTTCTTATTATATGGGGGAAGGAGGGGAGGCGTTGGGAAGATGTACGCCAGTAGCCAGATAACCCAATTTCCCATTATTATTCGGGGATCTTGCAGGGAGAAGGAAGAATACCTTTGTACACAAACCTGCTCAGAGCCTTCCTCAAGGTGATGGCTGAAACACGCCAGGGAGAAAGCTCAAGAGGGTAACTTCACACTGAATGTCAGTGGATATTCTGCACCCATGCCCCTCCATCACCCATTCTGATGATCTGGGAGGTTGTTAATCGAGGAGATCCACTGAAATCCAAGGGAAATATGGCGTTCGGGACAATGTCCTTGATTGTGGGTGCCAAAGTGCACCTGCCTGTGTCTCAAAGCCATGTGCTTCTCAGAGCTCCCAGGCAATTCTCGTCTCACTCTCCCAAACACCAGGAGCAATCCTTGTAGCATGGTTTGTTGTTTGTAACACGGGGAGATGCCTGCCCTCCAGCAGAACTCAATTCCAAAAGCCACATTCAAGGGACTTGTATGGATGGAAGGTGCTAAATGATCAGGTTTCAGGTCCTACTACCATTTTGCATATAATTCTGCGTCCATACAGTCCCTACAGAGTCCCACAACTGAAAATGGAGCTATTTGTTAATGTTTCTAATCAAAATTACATTATTAGTTAACTTTTCTGTCTGTAAGTTTCCTGTAAATGCCGTGTATAGAATTAGTTTATTGTTTTAAATAAACTAGATGCATTATGTATTTTATATTTTTTGTGCTGGATGGAAACCACTTTGGTTTTATGAAGAAAAAAGGTTTTAAAAAGTATTTCTCTCTTTGTAGAAAATCAATAGAAATTTTAGTAACTGTCTTCTAAAAATGTACTGTTACTATATTTCAAAGCATATAAAACAGATACAATTATAGTACTGCCATGGTAAAATGTGCTTTGGTAATTAATAGCCTTAATACTATATACTTTGTATTTGCAGTTTTCATAGGTAAAAGCAGTTTGTAATTTAGTGCAGAGCTTAAGTTGCGTGTACAGAAATACAAAATAATATATTTCTTAATAAACATGTAGAAAATACTTGCTTCTGATGTGGACTACTACAGTCTGGTTGAGGAGCAGGTTTTGTATTTTCAGCCAGTGGTGATGTGTCATTTTTTTTAATAGTATAAAAAAAATATTCCTTTCTCCTCCGTTTTGGATAATAGAATATTTTCCCTTAGCAAAGACGATGTCCTAAAATAGGTGCTGCTCCCAAAAGCCTGCCTAGATGGCAGCATGCACTCACGTAACCTGTGCTCAAGGATGGCGGCTGTTTAAAGCGCGTTACGGAAAAATGACGTACAGTTCTAAATTGGGCAGGAAGGTGTATGCTGTTACATAGAAATAACTGTTTCTCATTGAATTCCTTAATAATAAAATCCAAAGACAAGTCATGTTTTCTGGTTTTTAACCACTTAGGTCTCTTAATTAGATGAATTAGATTATGCAAAAAATGTGTGGAGGAATATTCTCAAACTTAACCTGGGCAGTGATGGTTTCACTCTTAAGTAACTCCTTCTAAAGCAAAAATAGTGTCAGTGCTCCTTGCTGATAGTCCAGAAAATTAGTGATCTATCCAGTCATGCTCATTTAACACTACTTGCTGGAAATAACTTAGGGTACACAGTTTGATGCTGGATCCTGAGCCAGCACATTGGAATTCAAGAAGGGCATACACAGCCTTCATGGGATCCCAAATTTATTAACTGCAGCTGAAAGACTTGTATACTTGTCTCCTGTCATCTAGCTCAGTTAAGACTCCAGTGCCATAACAACCTCATCATAATAAACAGTGCACCAATTAACAAAAATTGGATGTAAATCATTAGAGGTATGCTCCCTCGTGGAAGTGCACGTGTTCGTAAGAGGATTAGCCTACTGGCTATGTTCTCACTGCAGTAGCCGGGAGCCTTGACACAATGACCTCCTGCTCCTACAATCTGATAATCAATTCTGAGCTCATGAATCTTTTCAGACAGCTCTCTTGCTCCTGTAGTTAAAAAACGGTGTTCCCAGTGCACCACTAATATTGCAGAAGCTCTTGTTCTAGCCACATAACTTCAGAGGCAGCAACTGAAAGGAATCCATTCAGCAAGCTGGCAGAGATTGTTATCACAGCAGCTCATGGGGTTCAGTGAGCATTATATGTTCATAACAAAATAAGCTGACACAGTCTGTAAGCTCTGCCAGATTTCAGTAGACCTGAAATAAGGATGCAATTCTTTTGTAGCTCTTCTGCTGCTTAACTGCTCTGCAAGATACATGTTTGTTAGATATGGGAGACGTACATCTGACTTACTTCAGTATAAACAAGATGTTTAGAACTCAATTCGGTTGCTTATGCTTTGGCATCGAGTACCATTTGAGACACTCTGGGGTACCCTGCGTGGTCTTCATGTCTTCAGCTGCTGCTTCCATAGGTCCTATGTGATATCTGCCAACACCATGTGTATCTTGGGTGCCTTAGGGCATCTGAAATGGCACTAGATGCCTGTGTTCAGGTATCTAAATGGAGCCCTTTGTTTTCTGGGGCTTGGATAGCTATGGCTGACTATTTTTCTGTGAGCTTGCATAAAATGCTAGTACTGAGATTGATGCATGCCTCAATTTTCAAAATAAATTCTTCAAATCCCCGGTAAGTACATCAGGTGGGATACATGACATGTTGTGCATGTGAAAGAAGGGATTGTCTCCGGGGTGACAGGCTGATGCTGAACTGGGAAGCTAGTTCCTTGAGGTGAATAATTTAGAGCAAAACCCCAGCCTTATAATTGTCCTCTGGCTAGAGCTGGGTGCCGCATCTCACAAGGTTTCTGATGAATATCTGAAGATAACATGTGGGCAGGACCTGGTTCAAGTTCAGCAACGCCATGAGCAGCAGTGGTGAGTTAGTGGGAGATTAGGGAGCTGCAGTCCCCTTGCTTCCTGAAAGAACTGTGTGTGTGTGATTCAGCTCGGGATTTAAATTTAAGTGTTGAGACATAGGTGTGTATGGCCAAGCAGAGCAGTTGAGCTAGCTGTTAAGTGCCTTTAGGGTAATCTGACTCATTCCGTAGGTTGAACTGACTCCACTGCCTGCCTCAGTTGTCTATGCATAGTGCCACGTGAGATGCTGTAAGGTATCCTGTCTGGCCTTTGGCTGCTGTTCTAGAAGGGTTCACATCTGACATTGGTCCTCAGTCATACCTGCTAGCTCAGGTATACCTTTCATGCCCTAAGTCATCGTGGGCATCATTGCTAGATGCTTGTATAAGCAAGAAGATCTAATTCTCCAGTGGCTGGGGCTGTCATGGGATCACAGCCCAGATGTGGACATCAGATGCTTAACTTCAGATGATGTTGCCCATTCCGTGCTTTTGACAGAAGGGAAAGGGAGCGGAGAAGCAGCACACGAAGTGTTAGGTGGATGCTGGGACCACGCACTAACTGGTGCAAGAAGCTGGGAGAAGATGATCTGTCCCTCAGTCCAACTGCTACAAGTAGAAGTGGCCTAATCTGTACTTAACATCATGTTAGTTGTCCCCAGCCCTCTAACAGAAAGAACAAAGCCTCCTGATTAACAATACTGACTAATTTGATCATTAGCCTATTTCCTATTAAAAGTGCAACAGTGAATCAACCCCCGCTTTGGGTTTATGTTACTTGCTTTGAAATTGTTTTATGGTCTCTGGTTGCATTTTTAAACCCTATTTTTGTCTGTCTTGGAGGAAAAAAAGTAAGCCAAAATAATTGTACTACATTAAGAGTAGAAACTAGCATCTATTCTTGCTCATGTAGGTCTGTGGATAACTATTCTATAACTGACAGTAATGTGCCACCCGTGTCTGAGGACTCCCTGTTGATTCCTGCGTCTAATTAATTACTTTTATGTGATAATTAAGTCATTCCTATTTACTGCACTCCGTTTGCTTGCAGCTAGAGTACTTGCTGAAAACAGAAATTGTCTGAATTTACGATGCCTGTGGTTGCACTCTTCTTGCAGTGTTTGCGAGCTCTGCCGTGCCCGAGCCACCACTAGTTCCAGTTTTGTGCGGTCTCAGGCAGTTTTGAGGTAAGCGGCCCGGGCTGCAGGCAGAGGGTTTCTTTC